TGAAACCCGATCGTCTTTTTCGTAAATGCTCGCTCTTCGAAAAAAATGCAAATTTTCACTTCGCTGAAAAGTGGAAATGTTACTAGAGCAGTCATTCGTCAAAAAATCCAAATATGTAAATGAGTTCATTTGCATGTTGGAAGAGGATGAGGGCGATCGTTCGCTGCAAAATGCACTCGGAATAAAAAACATGTGCAAGTTTCATGATATTGCAGGAGCTGCAACGATTTTTGACCAAAAACGAAGTGCTGAAAACGAAGGAAAGGAATGAAAAAAAAGTTGACGATAGGCGTAAAAAACTGGACTTCAGTCATATACCCATTGAAGAGCAAGTGGTTGTTCTGTTTCCCGGCCAAGGGGCTCAGCATGTGGGCATGGGTAAAAAGGTACGTGTGGCTGAGTTTTTGCTATTCAGCTTATAGGCTTTTTTTTTAAAGTTTTAACTTCTCCAAAGTTTTGTTATTTTATTTTGTTCACTTTATTTTACGTCTTGAAAATTTTTTTTTGCATGGATAAAAACCAAAAAGATCTCTACTCTTCCCCTTCTTCTTTCGCCAGCCCATAGGATCTGCTTCCCCCCCACTGTCGCCTGGTGTTTTTCAAATTTTGTTACCGCGATTTTTGCAGATTAACAAAAAGCCGCAAGAAATTGGGGGTACATGTTGCTTTTCTTTTCCAATCCTTGTTTTATTGCCGAAAACTCAAACATTCATTACCAAAATCAAATATTGCTGGAGGAATTTGTTGCATTTTGTATTTCAGACCTCATTTGCAGCGACCTTCAAAATTATTCAATTTATTTTTGAATGCTTAAAAATTATTTAACAAGTTTTTTGCAACTTTTTTTGCATATTTTACAGGTTTTGGATTGCCCGAAAGCTGCGGAAATTTTTGCCGAAGCGGCTGAAGTGCTGCAGTATGATTTGTTAAAAATATGCTTGGAAGGTAAGCTTGCGCTTAATGGACCGAAACATTCCTATTCATCTAGTTTTATAATATAATTTTGTATTTTTATAGTTACAAACAAATATATTTTGCTTCCTGCTCGAAATTTCCCTCAGTATTTCATTTTGCATGAAGGATGGAGGGACTTGGACAGTTCATTTGGTAGCACAGGTCAATAGCAATTATTCGCTGGTAAGGATTTCATTGCCCCCCCCCCCCCTTCCGTGGGTTGTTTGGAAGTAAACGGATGACAATTTTGCCTCCTTTGCCTACATCATTTCACGATTTTTGTCCCCAAACAAGCCATTGTGTTGGCTTATTTTAGTACTTTGTAAAGTGATTTTAGTATGGTAATGCAAGTAATTTTCTGACTTCGGTAGGTGATAACAAATCACAGCTACTCTTTTCACAATGTAGCTTTTCGAAGCCTTAAAGATATTACTGTTGTTAGCAATTTTTGTCACTTTAAATAGCAAAATTGCTGATTCTAAGTAACAAATCGGCACTGCGTAGTACCTGATTATTTCATTGCTTCTTCGCAATCTTGCATCTGTCACTGTATATATTCTTAGCATTTTTTTTGCGTTTTTTGCTATGCGACAGCAGTACAAAACGCATATTGTCAAGGAGTTATCTGTGTGTGTTTGTGTGGGTGTATATATGGGTGTGTTTGTGTGTATGTATGTGTGTTTCGGCAGCAAATTGTTGTCATTTTAAATAGCTATTAGCAAAATTTCTGCCTCTAAATAACAAATCGGTGCCCCGTAATACCTGATTGTTTTATTGCAGGACCAAAATCGAAGCTTGATCAAACAATTTATTGCCAGCCAGCAATGTTTGTCAGTTCTCTAGCTGCTTGGGAGAAAGCTAAGTTGGAGGAGGAAACGTTGGATAGTCGCGTAACTGATGTGGCTGGCTTTAGTGTTGGTGAATTTGCTGCATTCGTACTTGCCGGCATACTTTCTTTTAAAGATGGTGAGTTCTGTGGTATTCGCCTGGGAAAATCCTGAATAAGTGCTCTTTTCAACAGAGTTGCGATATCAAATCTTCTTGTGAGATTGAGCACAAAATCAAAATTTTCCCATTTTTAATGGTATGGACGTTGTCCAGAAGGGAAGCCACGTATCAAAATGGCCCCATTTTTGAAGGTACGGGTGTATTTTTGAAGGGAAGCCAATTCAGGTTTTTATTTAGATTTAACTTATTCACATTCCCTTTTATTCCCTTACTTTTTACATAAACACACACACCATCTAAA